CGCTGAGCGGTCCCACTTAGAGGATGGGTCTCCCTCAGGAGATAGTGTGCACAATTCAAGATTCACGTGCTGCATCTACCATAGTTCTGTACACATCAAAGGGGATGGTTTTTCAGCGCTGGTGTACAGAGAAGGTTTAGAGGCCACCTCATGCCTTTTAGGCGGCGTGTTGTTTTTCTACAACAGCTGATGGATAGGGAGTTGGTTTTCAGTACGCTTTAACGTACGTTGCAGTCATCTATTCCTGCCACGAAGGTTTCGGAGACAGAACAGCTTTTAATCACCCGCTGATAAGCGTTTTTCTAAAAGATGTTCAGAGACACAGGCCTGCTTCACGTCCACTTGCTCCACAGTGGGATTTAACGCTGGTCCTGCGAGCCCTGATCAAAGCTCCAATTGAGCCTCTGGATCAGGTTTCATTAAATTCTTGTCTCTTTAAACAACCCTGCTGGTGGTTTTAACACCCGCTAAGAGGATAAGTAATTATCTGCCCTCTCTGTTGCTTCGTCATGCCTTAGAATTTAGGCTGACGGGCAGCTCAACTGATTTAAGACCAACCCAGCTTTTATGCCTAAAACATCACGAGCTCTTTTAAATCAAGAGTGATATCGTTGGAGGGGTCTTTTCCCCCCCACAGATCAGAAGAAGAAGCATCTTTTCATCTTCTCTGGCCGGTGCGGGCGTTGACGTGTTACATGATGCGCACAGCTGCAATGCGTTTCAAACTCAACAATTGTTTGTGCATTATAGAGATGCATCTGCAGGTCGCCGTTATCCATCCAGCGCTTGTCACACTGGCTGTGTGAGGCCTTTTCTGAAGCCTACAGAGCATCAGATTTAGGGCCTCCTGTCAACCTCTAAGCACACTCGACCAGGGGTATCGCATCTTGGACTGCTCTGCATAATGGTATGTCAATGCAGGACATTTGCACTGCGGCTGCATGGTCAACACCCTGCTCATTTATTCGCTTTTACCTACGTGATGTAACGGCTTGTTCCATGACACATTCTGTCCTTAGTGCTCTAACAGAATGAATATTGTTGTTCTCATGGAACTCTGTTTAAGCTCACTTCTGTCTGCATGCATTACAGTGTGAGATGTTGTTATCAGTCACAAGTCGTGTCTGTGATTTTGGTTCTATTGTCACTAATCAGTTCATGACTATTGTTACCAATCAGTTCATTTGATCAATAATCAATTCATGGACATTAATCTGTTTATACTGTTCAGCCATAAACCAGTTGGTTCATGCCCCCCCCCCCCTCTTTTCAACTTCTTCTTCCGTTGAAAGTTTTCCGGGGCATTCATGCTTTGTCAGAACGCATAGTTACACAACATGTGTCTGTGCATGGCACATAATTACGCGATGCGTAGTTATGCTCACGGGGAGCTGAGTGACAAGACATTTTTTGGGCAAGCTTCCGCTTCTTACTGTGTTCGAATGGACCCAGTGAGGCGAGGACCACATCGGCTTCGCCCTTTACCCACTAAAGCGAAGGCCTTAAAGGGCGAAGCTTATACGACATAGAACGTTGGTTACGTACTGTAACCCCAGATTCTATGAGTATAAGCGTAGCCCTTTAAGCGTCGGGCCTCACTGGCTCCTAAATGGCTGAAGAAAAAGCTATTTTGGGAGCCGATTTCCCGCTCTTAACGTAATTTATACGGACCGGGTGGGGCCCACACAGCAGGTGGGCGTGGACTAATTTTTTTCATTGCTTATGCTCTGCATAACGGGATAAACCCACTAAAGCGAAGGCCTTAAAGGGCTACGCTTATACTCATAGAATCTGGGGTTACAGTACGTAACCAACGTTATGTTGAGTGGGACGTTCAATGTTCTGAGATGTTTTTTAATAACTACCTTGATCCATACTTCTCTGCAACTTTAACTCTGTCCTGTGTGGACAGTTCCTTGGTCTTCATGATGTTTCTGTCTTGCTGGTAGACCTTATTACTTATTAGTGTTGAACTGTCTTGTTTCTCAGTTCTATCAGAACAGGTGTATTCATAGTGAGATTATTCAACTCAGATTATCCACAGGTGGATCAAAATTAATTCATAATGTAGCTTCTGAAGATAAAGATTTGGGCTTTAAAGCAAAGGGGGTAAATCAGTCAAAAAATATTCAAAATTATTTAATTTAATCAATCTGGAGTACTTTATTTAGACTTGAAATCAAATAGAAAATCCATTTAAACTTTAGGTTGTGAGACAATAAAAGAGCATGTTGTTGCAGCAGTTTCTGTATTTGTCATTTACTCTGTTTAATTTCTCCACAGTGATGGTCCCCTCTCGTAGTCATGGTGATGACACTCAGATTAATTCCTTCCACGTGTTTTGGCACACTGAATAAATCAAGGACCAAAGAGGACATTGAGATAATCCAGTTTTTCACTGGCCAGACCGCACAAATAAACACATGATGCACAAAGTTCTCACCATAATTAAATCCAATAGTTCTGTCTTTAAAATGTTATATTTAAAAAAAAAAAAGATAATTCATAATTGGATTACTGACGTTAATGTCAATAGATTGTTAGATTGATTTAGAACATAAAGGTAAAAGCTTTAGATGGCCTGAGTTACACTACAGGGCATAATCCCATTGTGAAACATAGATTATCATGATAAATTATTGTTAAAGCATTGTAATGTTTTTTACTTTAAACAACTGATTGGGGGCAGCACGGTGGCGCAACTGGTAGAGCTGCTGCCTCTCAGCGAGCAGGTCCCTGGTTCAAACCCCAGTCCAGGGGCCTTTCTGGGTGGAGTTTGCATGTTCTCTCCGTGCATGCGTGGGTTTTCTCTGGGTACTCCGGTTTCCTCCCACAGACCAAAAACATGCATGTTAGGCTGATTGGTAACTCTAAATTGTCCCTAGGTGTGAGTGAGAGAGTGAATGGTTGTTTGTCTCGTTTGTCTCTGTGTGTCCCTGTGATGGACTTGCGACCCGTCCAGGGTGTACCCCGCCCCTCGCACAGTGATTGCTGGACATGGGCACCAGCGACCCCCGTGACCCAAAATGGAATAAACGGGTAAAGAAAATGGATGGATGGATGGACAACTGATTGGTTGACCTACGATGTGACTTTCAGCCTGTGTGCAAATGAAAGGATATGAAGGTATTAAATCCCACAGATGGTAATCCAGCAAACCATCTGTTACCTCTTGATTAAATTATCTGTTAGCTTTATGAACACATGATATGAATCAAAAGTGAAACCACAAACAAACCTTCAGTTTTTTATGATATTTACAAATACACATACACATGCATCACTATTAGCACATCACTGACGGATCAACACTTGGTACCAGCATTTAACTAATTACAACAAGTGGGAAGACGAAGCACTTCATCTCAGAATTTAAGAAGTGGGAAAAGTTACAAAATAAAGTGGGGTTTTTTTTTTGGGGGGGGGGGGGGGGGATGCTTGAAAAAATGTTGGTTCCACTCAGAGATATGTTTTAAAAATGTTTCTACTGTGAGATGTTCATGGATCAAGGAGAGTAAGATCTTGGATTTCCACTGTTCTTTTTGCACATACAGTATTTAATATGAAGTCTACAGAGATGTCCAGGAAACTCAGTTGATTGTTCGTCTTTAAAACGTCTTCAGTTGATCCACAATGCTGCTACCAGAGTTTTAACTGGAGTTAGCAGGAGAGATCATATCTCTCCAGTTTTAGTTTCTCTCCACTGGCTCCCTGTCAAATTCAGAAAATAATTGAAAAATCTTACTTCTAACCTACAAAGCCCTCAACAACTTAGATCCATCTTACAGTATATTACAAATCTTATTGTTCCATATTTTTGTAATAGAGCACTTCGCTCCCAGATCACAGGTTTACTTGTGGTTCCTAGAGTTTCCAAAAGCAGAATGGGAGGAAGATCTTCCAGTTTCTGTCTGTGAGTCTGACACATTGTCCAGTTTGGACTGGGCTGAAGACTTTCCTTTTTGATAAATCCTAAAGTTAGGGTTGACTTGGGTTTCCTGACCCATCCTTATCCTATGCTGCTATAGGCTTAGACTACTGGAGGCCAAATTGACCTCATTTCATCAAATGGATAGTTACAAATAAATAGTTTATATTTTTAGATATTTCTTTCTTAATATGTTTGTTTTGTTTCGTCTTTCCTCCTAGTGAGGGAACTGCTCGCCTCCTTTCTGGACCCAACATTTTGTTTGTTTCTCCTTCCTGTCCTCTCAAACCCAGCCGGTCGAAGCAGATGGCCGCTCGTCCTGAGCCTGGTTCTGCTGGAGGTTTCTTCATGTTAAACGGGAGTTTTTCTTTCCACTGTTGCCACTGTGCTTGCTCAGGATGGGAGACTGTGACAAAATGAAGACTCAACGTGTCTCCTTAGATAAATAATTCTACTAACTGAATTTTGTATGTATATGAATATTTCTGTTCAGTGCCCTGAGACAACTTCTGTTATGACTTGGTGCTTTATAAATAAACTGAATTTCCTCTTTGATAATCAAACACTAAAAGTCATTTTCAGGCAACAGCTGAAAATAGCTTACAGTAGGAATGGGACAGGTCCAAGGTACTTTTCATTCACACTGTCAAAATGGTAAATATTTTTGTTATGATGTTATATTGTTGTTTTATTATATTTTGCACATGATGTTGCAGCTTGTAAACAGATTTATTGGCTGTTTTCATGCTTTATTGCTGCCAGATGTAGAAGTCTGGATGAGAGAGCAAACATCTAAATTAAGATTACACACATGAGTTTTATATAATCTTGTTTTAAAGACACACAAATGCATAAATGTCAAACACACTAAAACATAGGGTCATTTGTTCCAGTCACATCACAGTAATACAAAAAAAGTCTAAATACAGTAATTGTACTAGTTAATTTACAAGTAGATGCAACAATCAGGTCATAATTTACAAAGGTAGAGGAGCAGATTAACAATATAAAGATTATAATGTCTGACATAACAACATTATGGGAGTATCTGAATATGCTATTTTAAATTGTCAAAGTGTCATTTTGATGATACTTTGTGGGCCATTTAAGCTGTAATGTAGTAGTGGTGTGCACCTGTGTTAGTGCACGTGTATGTTATGTACCAGTGCAAAGATTTTTACAAAGAGATGTAAAAGTGAATTATTACTAAAGGAACAAATGACTGAAACGATGACATCATAAATCCAAAGAACACTAAAAATGACTGTTCAAGTTGTTCAATTTAAAAATGATTCTTTATATTTCGTAATGAAAACAGAACCTTTCCATGCACATGATCTGTTATGTGCTCTCTGTGTTTGGGAGCGTGTTAGCGGATGGGAGCCTTTAGAGCGGCGTCCACCTCCTCCTCAGGCTGCAGCGTGTGCCACTGGGCCACGGGCCGTCTAGGATTAGCCAGCATGTCCGACCAGTGGCGCAGCCCAACACCTGAAGCGCCGTATCCGATCCAGCACTTTCCGATGGGATCGTTGCTGCCCAGTTTGTCGTAGTCGTACACGGTGATCAGCAACTGGACTTTCTGTGTGTGAAGACAAGAGAAGTGTCAAATGTATTTGTTCTTCAGTTAACAGATACATTTGGTTTCCATAGCATTATGTTTTCTACTACTATTCATCCATTATCTTTTACCCACTTCTTCCTTTCTGGGTCACAGGGTTACTGGTGCCCATGTCCAACTATCACTGTGCGAGAGCGGGGACACCCTGGACAAGTCCATCATAGGGACACATAGAGACAAACGAGACAAACAACCATTCACTCTCTCACTCACACCTAGAGACAATTTAGAGTTACCAATCAGCCTAACATGCATGTTTTTGGTCTGTGGGATAAAAACCGGAGTACCCGGAGAAAACCCATGCATGCACGGAGAGAGCATGCAAACTCCACCCAGAAAGGTCCCTGGCCAGGATTTGAGCCCACGACCTTCTCGCTGACAGGCGACAGCTTTACCAGCTGAGCCGCCGTGCCACCACTTCCTACAACTAAATCAATTAAAACATTAAAGTTTTTTGTAAAAATGACATAAAAATTGTGGCATCCTAAAAAAATGTTATTTTGGACATCTTTACACGCAGCTTTAGTAAATATTGTAGCACAAGTAAAGAAAGTCCATCGAATCAGCCAAGAATGATCATGAGATTATTAAAATGGTAAAAGTATCTTCAAAGACTTCTGGTTGTTTAATATGTTGAAAATTTAATATTGCTAAAATCTCCCTTTTTATGTTTTTTTTTTTTTTTTTGTAGTTTAGCTTAGCATGCTAGCATTTAAATATTTGTCAACAAGCACTGAAAGCAAAGCACAGCAGGTTTACGTTTTCGAAAAATACAATACGATACAATACAACTTTATTTATAAAGCACTTTAAAACAACACCGTTGGTCAAAGTGCTGAACACTAACACATACAAGCATAAAAACTGAACTTCCTGCATAAACGAACAGCACACAACAGTTAACACCAGCAAGAGGACATTTTAATAAAGGGAACATTGCATCACTCAGAGCACAAAATAACATTGGATTAGTTATCCACCACATACTGTAGATATCTGTCATAGCAAGGCTAGCTTCTCAGCTTACAACACGGTACTGCTGCTACGATGCATGACAATACAGTGAGTCAATGGATTTCTCACTATGGCAAAATAACATATCAGGTTTGAGCTGTCTTTGGTTCTGTACATGTACATGTACATGTACATGTCAAATAAAAAACAAAAACATGGAATTCACCAACCAAAATGGAATGTCTCTATCATATACTAATGTCTAATGAGCTTTAACTTTTTTTTTTCTAATGGAAAATTGGGACCTTATCTACACTACAGATCTTTTTAAAATCTGAAATGTTATGCGACTATTGTTTAACACGTGTTTGTTCGATGAGAACAATTTTGATTTAAATAACACTTCTCAAGTTAAAGATTGGCAGCACGGTGGCGCAACTGGTAGAGCTGCTGCCTCTCAGCGAGCAGGTCTCTGGTTCAAACCCCGGTCCAGGGGCCTTTCTGGGTGGAGTTTGCATGTTCTCTCCGTGCATGCGTGGGTTTTCTCCGGGTACTCCGGTTTCCTCCCACAGTCCAAAAACATGCATGTTAGGCTGATTGGTAACTCTAAATTGTCCCTAGGTTTGAGTGAGAGAGTGAATGTTTGTTTGTCTCGTTTGTCTCTGTGTCCCTGTAATGGACTTGCGACCCGTCCAGGGTGTGCCCCGCCCCTCGCACAGTGATTGCTGGACATGGGCACCAGCGACCCCCGTGACCCAAAATGGAATAAGCGGGTAAAGAAAATGGATGGATGGATGAAGTTAAAGATTGGGCAGCACGGTGGCACAACCGATAGACCTGCTGCCTCTCGGCGAGCAGGTTCCTGGTTCAAATCCCAGTCCAGGGGCCTTTCAGGGTGGAGTTTGCATGTTCTCTCCGTGCATGCGGGGGTTTTCTCCAGGTACTCCAGTTTCCTCCCACAGACCAAAAACATGCATGTTAGACTGATTGGTAACTCTAAATTGTCTCTAGTGTGAGTGAAAGAGTGAATGGTTGTTTGTCTCGTTTGTCTCTATGTGTCCCTGTGATGGACTGGAGACCCGTCCAGGGTGTACCCCGCCCCTCGCACAGTGATTGCTGGACATGGGCACCGGCGGCCCCCGTTGTAAGGATGTTAGTTTTCTGTGGCCCGGTGTTGTCTGTTTCCCTCGTGCTCCTCGTTAGTTTCCATTATTGCCACCTGTGTCTCGTCCCAGCTGTTTGTCATCATGTCTCGTCTTCTCCTTGTATTTAAGTCACCCTATTCTGTCTTGTCCTTTGTCGGGTCGTCTTCGTTGGGTGTGCTTCTTTGAGTCTCCTGAGTCTCTCTGTCTTCCTGGTTCCTCGAGTTCCCCGTGTCTCCTGAGTTCCCCGTGTCTCCTGAGTTCCCCGTGCCTCCCTCCTTGTTTATGTAAGTTTTGCTGCCCCGTCAGCATATTTATTTTGTACTTTTTATTTATCATTAAATCATATTTTTTGTATATCTGCCGAGTTGAGTCCCTGTTCTGCACTCTGGGTTCGCTGCTAACCACAAATCCTAACACCCGTGACCCAAAATGGAAGAAGCGGGTAAAAGATAATGGATGGATGGACTCAGTTTTTTTATTGTATCTGAGTGAACTCAACATACATAGCTTTTGAGGAATTATATAATTTAGAATGTTCTTTTATTACATTTTGATGTAGTTAATGTGGACAATGTCACTATTTTCTGGAATGGTATGGACTTGCGACCTGTCCATGGTGTCCCCTGCCTCTTGCACGGTGGTTGAAGGACATGGGCACCGGTGACCCCCACAACTCATAAAGGAAGAAGCGGGTAAAGAGGATGGATGTGGATGGGTATTTCCATTTATTATTATTATTTTTTTTTTTTTTTTTTTTTGGTTAAAATTGTTTGGACATACTTTTCCATCTCAACTGAGAAAATAAAATATTGTTTTAAAATATCCAAAGTAGAGAAGACAGGAAAATTTTGTATTGAAAATTTAGTGTTCATTAAACAGAATTAGCTCGCTGAACTGAAAGTCGGGGTCTTTATAGACCATGGTTTCCCATTGTCAGCTAAAATCAACTTGACGCCAATTCAACCAAAACATCTCTCTTAATTGTTAATTGTTAACTTTTAATTGTTTTAAGCTTACCAATAAAGTAAAAGTTTTAAACACATTTAAATGCAAAGTTAAGGAAAAAGGTTTACTTCCCATAGAAAAGATTAGTTTATATAGAAAGTTTATGCCCACAGTCAATGTATAAAAAGGAAACTTGAAAACTTTAACCGTGTACAAACCTGGATCTGTGAGAACGGTATCTCAAAGCTGAAACTCTCATTGAAGTAAGGATTTAGAGTATTTTGCTTGACTGACGTCTTCTTTTTCTTGATTCTCTTGCCGTTGTGCTGCAGCACCACCTTGACAAAAGGATCTAAAAGGCAGATACGAGTCAACAGAGCTACTCAATACAGAGCTCTGTCACTGGTACGTTTGCAGAGACACATACCTGAGAGTCCTCCAACATCCATCTTCTTCAGATTCTTGGCTTCCATGATGTTAACTGTTAGTTTACCAGCGGTGGGGACATAACGGAGGGAAATGCAGACATCACCCAGCTTTTCTTGCTGTCAGGAATAAAACATTGACCATTGTTATGTGCTTCATGGAGGTAATGGCTGACCATATTCCTTGGAAGATAAAAATAAACATACCTCCTCTTTTTCTCCCCCGACTAGATCTTTCCACTCATGTATTGGTTGTCCAAGGTCTATAGTGTTCATTGGAATCTTTATTTCACCAATTACATCATGTTTACCGAAACGATCAAAGTCAAAAACTTGCAGTACCAATGTCTGTCCACCCAACTCGTTATAAGGTATCTGAAGAAAAAAGGAAAAAAATACAAATTAAAAAAACTCACTTTGAATTTCATTTCATCGCATCTTTGGTAGATTTAATTAAAATGCACAAGAATGGATTTGATAATGTGTTAAACGGTATTAGCATAAATACCTTAAAGGTGAAAGTCTCATTGAAGACAGGACACAGGTTCTTTCGCTGGACTTTGGTCTCAAACTTTTTTTTCTTGTCTGGCAGCATGTACACTTTGACGTAAGGGTCCGAGGTCCCACCCATGTCCATAGCTGCAAGGTCCTGAGCTTGGAGGATGCCCACTATCAGCTGGAGGAGGAGGAAGAGAGCAGAAGATGAGGGAAACTGCGGAGTTCGACACATTCGTATGAAACCTGGTTTCAACAGAAAACGTGGAATGAATACATGAATGCTTGTCCGATTTTTCAAAACATAGCACTGCAATAATCATGATTAGAAATTATGAAAAGATAATGTCTACCAAATTATTGTTTTATATAGAAAAGTGTTCACATCACATGAAGAAAACCGTAATCAGTACAGTTATTAACCCAATTTTGAGTTAGTTTCAAAGGGACCAGTTTAAAATGTGTGGGCATCAAGTATTCTATTTGGAAGTCTTCCTTGAGAGGTCTTATGAACATACCCCTAAGAAAATCTTGGTACAAAACCAGGACTCACTGGGAATAGTATTATGTATGTCTCAGTTGTCCTAGGAATGCATCTGAATCCCTTTTAGATGAAGTAAAGAAAGTAGCTGAGGGCAGGAACGTCTGGAGATCTCTGATTGTCCCCGTGACCCAGTCTTGGAAAGTGTCAGGAAATGGATTAGGGAAAGGATGGTTTCTCACTATAAAGTTTTCACATCTAATCTAAACCTAATACCAACAATGAAAAACATATTCCAGAACATGGATGGTCTTTTCAAAGTCCTGGTGAGATATTCAGGGGTGTATCATTGAAGTTGAAGAAGTTTGAGGTTCTGGAGGAGCATGGTGGCAGCATATTCATCATGTGGGGCCAGTTAGCACCAGTTGGCTTGGACAATAGGAGTTGAGAAAAACTGATCACATGCCTGAGACTTCACTGTGCTCATTAGAAGGTCATGTAAACAATCTTGTAAAGATGGCTATTAGGGAACTTTTGGTCAAAGTTTATTGATGTTTTTAACTACTATGGCTGCTAATGTTAACTCTGCCCATGAACCATATGTTTGGGTTAGCAGGGAGAGCGGGACGAGGAGATGAGTGAGATTACAGCATGCAGCTGTCGCGTCAAGTACGACTCGGAGTCTATGAGCTCGGCTGAACTGATAAGAGTATAAAAACAAGCTGTACACACTGTGGCACATTCTTGTGACTGGTCTTCATGTGTACTTCCTCTATATCTGTGTAACCTGTCCTGAAAATCTGTCCTTGCAAGTAAAATACCAGTTAAAAACCTTATCCTGCTGTTGAGTGTGGCTCCTTTTGAGTAAGTAGGATAAAGCGAGAATATTTTTCTCCAACAATGGCACCCATGGGAGTAGTACTGTATTAGTGTTACAAAAACATCTGTAGTTACAGCCTTGGTGCCAGGGGAAGAGCCCAGGTTGTGGTGCAATCATGAATTTATGGAATAGTATAATTGTGGGATTGTGTTGCTGACATCTAAAGCATGGTAATGTCCCAAGAAAGCTTCTCAAGGTATACAACATCTAGAACAACAACAACAACATCTAGCTTTTCAGGTAAACAACAGGAACAACACATGGAAAAGTAGAAGCAATTACAATTGTCTTAACACTGAAGGAGGTTTTCCAAATTTACCATGATCCAGCCACATTCAGATAGGTCATGCAGGTTGTAGACAGCACAGCATGGAGGTTTTTCAGTGGGAAAAGGGCCTGGGTATATGTTAACTCTAATCTTACACGTGTCCTTATACATTCAAATAATTTGTTTTCAAGAGTGAGATACAAAAGAGAAATTAGGAGTGAAAGCAAAGTAAATATGAGACTGTAAAAGACGTGATTAGTTTTAAACATGGGAAAACTTATATACAATGTATTGGAGCAACGCTTTCTCTTCCTTCTCTTTCATCATTAGATTTTGTCAAAATTAGTGACAACTGTCCACATCTTGATGTACCGACAATTAACACCAACACTTAGCAAGACCTAAGCCCCAACTCAAAAGAGGAAACAATGACAAATAGAATAAAGCAGATCATCTGCATTGCTTTAGACTGTGGCCTGACGTTGAATAATTAATTAGAAGGCCAGTGCAGGAGTGTTAGCATCAAGTACCTGATTATCAGTGAAGTTGTAGTCCAATGTGTACTCCAGTTTTCCAAAGTTCTCCTTCTCCTCCTCCTCCTTCCCTTCTTCTCCGTCCTAAAAGATGTAGAAAATGTTTTGCTCAGACATTTTGTATTTCATGCACCTGTGATCATCTAAACTTTTCAAATAGCAACCAAATTCAAAAGAAACATCTGAAAAAAAGGCAAGAGAAAATAGAAATCAGCATGCATTTCAATGTTTAGCTGTTTCTTGTACATTAAATCACAACTCAGATATAATATGAAGCTGTGATTAAATAGTTATACTGTACAGTACTGTAATGGAATTGTAAAATTTCCAAGTTACCCTTTATAGCCAAAATTTTGGAAAAAGTTGTTTACACCCAGCTGAAGGCCATTTTGGATTAATTTAAAATTTTGGAGGTCTTCCAGTCTGGTTTTAAAATGTACCACAGCACTGAATCTGCTCTTTTAAGGGTTTTCAATAACATATTTTTTGCACTGGATTCTGGAAACTGTGTTTTACTTGTGCTTTTAGATTTAACAGTTGCTTTCGACACAGTCGACCATGACATTCTCATCTCCAGACTGGAGCAGTGGGTGGGCATCACTGATTCAGCTCTGCAGTGGTTTAGGTCTTATCTTTTGATAGAAGTTTCAGTGTGATGATGGATAATTTTACCTCTGCTTCTGCTGCCTTCCCCTGGGGGGTACCCCAGGGCTCTATTCTTGGTCCTCCTGTTTTCTCTATATCTTCTGCCACTGGGTTCTATTTTCAGAGAGCATGGTGTGCAGTTTCATTTATATGCAGATGACTGTCAAGTCTACTTCACTTTGAAACATAATGGCTCTACTCAGTCTCTCCTGGACTATCTTGATGGCATTAGAGGATGGATGGCACTTAATTTCCTCCATTTTAATGAAAAAAAGACTGAGGTTATGGTATTTAAATCCTGTGGCCTAGCAGTTTCTCCACCTTGGATATTTCCTCTTTGGCCCTCTTTGGCTCTCAAGCAGTATGGGTTCTGTTCCTCATCCTTCTTCCTCCAAACCCTTGGACCTTGATTTCCGAATGAAAGGCGCACGTTACTTTCATCGGAAAAGAGGACCGAGGAACCCGACAGTTGTAGCCCATCTCCCGGATGTGTCTGAATGTGGTGGTTTTTGTAGCTGTGACTCCGGCCTCATTCCACTCTTTCTGGATCTCTGCCAGATTCTGGAATCTTCTCTATCTGGAATTGAATATATATATATATATATATATATATACATATATATATATATATATATATATATATATATATATATGTATACATAAAAGACACATATTGTGTTTTCTTAGATCGGTTGGCTGACCAATGATTTGCTTTCAACCACTTGGGTTGGCTTCAAAAGGTAACTGGTTTTTGAGAAGGATAATTTCCTGCAAGTTTCATTAAAATTCATCCAGTGGTTCAAGATCTTGCATGACAGACACATAAATGAACACGGGCAACGCATTGTTGTTCTGCCTTTTCCTTTCTGCGTCAGGCAATATTTATACTAAACAATTTAAAGACGACAGTACAAGCTCTTCAAATTAAAGCTTTTCAGAATCACCAAGCAGCTCATGTCTAAATCATCAGAACACTTTCATCTCTTATCTTACCTTTTTCTCCTCTGTTTCCTCTCCATCCTTCTCCTTTTTTCTGCGGCCCCGTCCTCCTCCTGTCCTTTCACGGGCCTTCTTGGCCTTTTTGCCCTTGTTGAAACATTTTCTGTAGATGCAAAATCCCAGACAAGCGACGAGAGCCAGAACCACAACGACAATGGCTCCCACAGCCCACATGGGCACTGGAGAAAAGGAGAAAAGGGTGAATGGCAGGTTGGCCATGCTTTACTTGACACCTGTGACTCATTCTGGGTGTCAGTGTTCGTTGCTTTTGGTTGCTCGTTCTTATTTAAGTAAATATTTAGAATTTAAACCAGCTTAAAGTCTTAAACCTTTGCGGTAAAGACATGAAGAACAATAATTGGATGATTCAATCACTATAATGCTTAACGTTCTATCTACATTACTTGGGATATTTTTGAATGGGTTTTATATTTCTCTATAAAAACTTTGTCCAAATTATTCTAAAAATGGTGAAATACCCATTTTGCACAAAAAAGATACTCATTAGCCATAAATCAACAGAATATTTTTAGCTAAGCTAAAGATTCTTTCATTTTTTTTTATTTTTGTTTTGTCTTTCATACCATTTACATTTTCCTTTCACATTCCTACAGTTTTACAGACGAATAGATAATATTTCTTCCTTCCTTTTTTAAATTGAAAACTTTTCTAACTGGCATTCATAATATATGTGAATGTTTCTGTTCAGTGCCCTGAAATGACTTCTGTTGTGACTTGGTGCTATAGAAATAAACTGAATTGAATTGAATTGCATTGAATAAGGATTGAATTGACTATAACAATACAAGTGTAAAGGCAAATTGTAAAAAACTTCAATATATGCTCTTTTTTTAAACCAAAATTCAGTTTGTATGTGGATGAGAGGTAAAAACACAGCAAAATATATTAGTTTTGAAAAAAATAATCATATGTTGTTGTGTAAATAACCTGAGATTTTGACACTTTGAAGACGTTCTTAATGCCAAATGGAATTTAATGTATATTTTCTAAAATAAAATTGGTCCCATCTTTTGAAATTTCTTTTGAGGCTTAATGTGTCAAAGATTAATGTCATTCCAAGCATTTAATGTCAAAATTTGTGTACAGTACTATTTACCAAATGTTAAAGCAGAACTTGTTTCCAATGTAATTTAGAAGGTTCAGCTCAAAGGACTGAAGTTTTTTTTTTATATGCAGCCACTGAGCTGACAGTTTTATTCAGATATGAAATTGAATCTTTTTCCTTCTATGGGTTGTTGCGCATTTGTTAAATCAGTTTAAGCAAACTTTGTTGGGGCACCTTCACACTCAATGATGACCCTGTTACAGCTTTTAAAATCAGCCAGGCGGTTTTTACTGGGTCTTAACGAAGACTTCAGGCACATAGTAAGAACACAGTGGACTCCCCAATGCACGTGATTGTGTGATTCATGGTTCATGATGAGTTTGATGATGCACAAAACTTCCAGTCAACTTATGATGGTTGCTCAATGTAGTGCGAATACGTATATGTATAGCATGTACAGAGGGTAGCATGGAATCAGTGCACACAGATCAGACTTGGTCATCAAAAAATTGATGCAGGACTAGTCATACTGCTCTCATGCATGAAGACAGTATCTGTCCCAGTATTACTGGGCTTTGACTAGTTGGTAAAAAGCATTTGTGTCGTCTTGCAACGTTCACAGGGTTCTCAATTATTTTGCTTGTATTGCAAAGTCGTTCAGCTGTGTCACTTGAATTTTGAACATCTTTTTAAAAGAATGTACTGCAACATGCAACACGTCTCAAGAGAGCAACGCCTGTATTTTGATGCTTTATAAATAAAACTGAACTGAATTTAAAGTATTCAACTTTAAAATACTAAAAAAGCATTCACTGGCATCGTAATTTCTGAGGACGAGCATAATTGGGGCAGTTTGTTGGATAAGTAAGTGTGACTTATTGGTTTTCTTTCAGTGGTAAAGACAAACCTTCATTTGTTTCAGTTTTTATTGATATTTTTTAAAATCAATGTCTTTACTCCTAAATCGTGTTATTTGCCATGTATTTTTGTAGAACGCCTTATTTTGATGACACGTGACGTTTCTATTTGTTTTCCCCTCAGCAACTTGCCACAAATGGGATAAAAATGTTACAGTTTAATGTGAATTTCAGAGAAAGAACACACTTGTATGACAGGAAGTTAAATTTACGAAGTGGCTAACGGGTTAACAAACTTTTGATCGTAATGTTCATATAATTCTGTCATTGACCCTGAAGAACTTTGTGCTCCAGATTTTTATTATTTAACCAAATGGCATGACCTGGTAATATGTAGCACATTTGCAAATTCAACTAGAGAAATTGCACGTCCTGTGAAAATTTAGTGTGAATGCTTATTGCTGAAGAACTTGCTGAAAACAGCTAAAATTAGCTAAAACATGCTGAAATGTAGCTGAAATGGAAGAACAAGCCTAAGCCTAAATAATAAAACTGGTCCAACTCTGCATATCTTGACTTTAAACATGTACTCCAAATCTATACATCTATAGTGGTGGCTGCCATGGTACAATGTGGGTATACGTATGGACAGCATGGGAGGAAGTGGGCCACAAAATTATGTGCACAGCCTGCAAAACAGTTTTGCAGGCTGTGCACACATACAAAGGCAGTGATTTCTAAATGTTGGCCAATCAAAATGCGTCTGCGCGGCTCACTGGTCACAAACACTCATAATTCAGAGAAACAACTGAAACTTTTCTTTTCACAACAGTGAATCGAGTTTGTGCTGAAAACCAGTCTCCAACAATCACAGTGAGATACTACCTCAGGCTACACCTGTGGTCATGAAAGCAGCTGAGCACAAACTGACACACATGGTGGTCCCTTAGGAAACTTTAGGCTCGTAATATCTCTCAGAGAAAATGCTTTTTTATAAAAAGACTATCTAAGTTAGCTTGCTTGCATAAGCTTTTAATGTTTTTAGATTAATAAAACACCTTCTTTCCAGCAGTCAAAGGACAACAAAGCAAACTGCAACACAGGATACATGGTTTGGTCTGAGACATGAGATGGACTTACTCTTGAGTTTATGATCTGGGTGTGCAGGGCAGGATGTCACAGGAGGGAGGAAACGAGAGAAGACGGGGGAAAAAATGAAACTGCAAATCAGTGCAAACTGTGAAACTCAGGGAGGGTTAAATGATGAGAAGCAAAGACAATAAAGCACAATTTATACCAAAAATGTGTTGTTTATTTTGTCTATGTAGAATTTTTCATCTATTCAAACTGTTTTAAAATGTTTCAAATCGAATGTGTTTCTATTTAATAGACTGAAAGAGCTAAATGTTTGCTGGAAATGTCAATATTACAGTCACTGTATCAGCAGAAACGTAGTACAGTCTTACTCCTTATAAACGGTACTGTACAATACAATGCTGTGAGCTTACTTGGCAGGTGTGTGAGCTCGTTGAAGAACTTGTTCTTCATGCTGGTAAACTGGTGGTTGGAGTGATGGGATGGGGGTGGGGCAGGTGGGCGGGGTTCCTCTTCTTCTGCCGCCCTCCGGAGTCGCATCTTCACCATGTTGTCCAACCGCATTGTTGGTCTGAGGGACAACGGGCAACAGTTGTTCAGTGATGGAAAAACGTCAAGATGGACCTGATTCAACTTGTTTCAACTTGATTCAACCTGATTCAACAATAACAATAAACTCTACTTGAACGTGAACTTTTTATTACCCACAATTGAAAGTGCAAGGTGCACGATAATGTTCTTGTCCATGTCTGTGATTGTTTGTATGTTACAAAAAAATCACAAGAATCGCTGGATTGATTTTATTAAAACTTGCTGAAAGAAATCATTGGATGCACATTTACAACTTGTGAAGTCAACTCAAATTATGATGACCACTGCCACAACTAAATGACCATAAGCACAGAAGTGAATAGACCTCAGTCAGTTTAACACCAGTTCCACTAACATTTAATGTGGCAGTGGCTGAGAGTCATTCACAACACATGTTCTGTGCTCTAAGTCATCAACTTGCAGTAATGAATGATATCATGCATTCCATAAAAAAAACATTTGATTCAAAACTACTTTATTAATCCCACAGGGAAATTAAATGTTGTAACTCATCATCCTGGTTTCATTAAAGAGTTGTTCTAGATGCTGATGGCTGTGGGCAGGAAGGATCTCTCGTCTGTCCTACAAAGGATCTGAAGAAGCCTCTGACTGAAGACACTCTGTTGTTGTATGACAGTCTGATGAAGAGGATGCTGAGGGTTGTCTATAATGTTCTTCATTTTATGAAGAATCCTTATTTGTACAATCATCTCCAAGGGTTCTAGAGGAGTCCCCAGAACTGAGCCAGCCTTCTTAGGTCGTTTTCACACTAGATAGTCCAGTAGACTCGGTTCGGGACCAATATTCATGACCTTTTGTTTACATTTGAGCTGGTGCGTTTGCATTCACACTGCACTGTGCAGTCGAGTCAACGTGTTGAACCAACCTGTTCCCCCACTCACCTGTGGGGGTGCTGCACCAAGAACTACTGAAAGAAACAACACAAAAACCTTTGAAGACACGTCTTCTTCTTCTTCTGTAAATAAAAATAAAAACGAAGTGGCATCAAGTTTTAGCAGTTTTAGGAGTTATATTTTGTCATTTTTCAAAAATGGACTCAGCATGAGCAGAAGATAAGACAGAAGACCATGGAGAATATTGTTTATCACACAAGGCAGCTGACGGCTCCATATAAGGTCAGAGATATGCGTGTTTGTTTACCCTGCGGAGCTGGGCTCGGTCTGTTTACATTCACACTGCACTCGAACCGCGCTGGAGTTCTCGTCTACTGGACCGAGACCTAGCCTGGGCCAGAGTTCACCTTTTTGTTCCGTGACAGAGTTCGATGGCGCGTTCACACCTCCCCAAATGAACCGGACTTTCTAGGAAAACGAGCTAGAGTTCGATTAAAGCGGACTAAACAGGGCTGGTGTGAATGCACCCTTATAACAACATCTGCTCATATCCATCAAAAGCTGTAGTGAAGAACTGCTGAACAGCTAAAATACAACATCAGACAAGAATGAGACAATATTCTGTGTTTCCCCTGTCTCATCACTTTTTGTTGCTCCCATATAATTCAAATGACTTTATTATTGTGGGGAGTGGTGGCGCAGAGGTGGGCTTGTGATCCAAAGATCGCTGGTTCACGCCCCGGCCCCGACAACATCAAAATTGTGGGTGGGGTAGGTGAAACACCCATACTTGCCCCCACCCTCATTTGCCCCACCCTGGGCCCATGAGCAAGGCCCTTAACCCCCACCATGTGCTCCCTAAACAGGTCTCTCTTGAAAATGAGTTCTCGTGGCTCAATGAGACTACCTGGATAAATAAAGGCTAAATGAAAAAAAATAATAATAAATTATTTTTGCCTAAAAATTACACAATTACTTAATTGAAATGCTTAATATGTTTATGAATTTTTCAACTGTGAATAAATGTGTTTATCCATCCATCAACTTTTTTTATACTTGTTCCGATGTCAGGTTGCGGGGGCAGCAGCTTGAGCAGGGAGGTCCAGACATCTTTTTCCACAGCCACCTCTTCCAGCTCTTCTGGGAGGAACCCAAGGAAAAAATAGACTTCCTGTTCTGAGGGGGCGGGGCTTTTATGACATCAAAATATGACCACAGTGCATCGTCGGGTTTCCAACAGGGATGACTCATGCCAAGTTTGGTACATTTCGGTCTTTCGATGTGAAAGCTATAGCGTTTGTAAATTTATGGCGTGAAGAGCAACTTTGAGGCCTGGCCACGCCCCCTTTAGCCTAAATGAAAACGAAAACTTTTGATAACTTTTGATAACTTTTACTCCCCAATGTGTTAAGGGCATATTAACCAAGTTTGAAGACAATCCTTCAAAATCCCTAGGAGGCGTTCATTAAAATTAGCCATTAGAAATGCCCAAAAATGACACTTTGACCCAATGGCCGACTTCCTGTTGAGTTTGAACCAGGGCTCCAAGAGACTTTTTCATAGGTCCTGAGAAGATACAGATGTTCACTGAGTTTCAGAATTATTGGTCAAAAAAATGGTTTGGGGCTGATGTTTTAAAATATTCTAGGGGGCGCTGTGGAGGCTATTGGGCAATTATCATGGATTCTTGTTCAATGGGTGGATAATTATTGATCATACTGATTTTGGTGAACCTGAGTTCAAATCTGTGGAATTTAGAGGCAAATGTATGGCGACGGCGTTACGTCCTACTTCGCCACGTCACGACACCCACATGCTCCACCCCAAACTGTCAGTGTTGGAAAGCAAGTTACACCAACATGTCTTTGTTCACTGGGCACAGTATCATGCTGATCAGGTAACAGGGGTCAGATGGGGACTGTTCAACGTGAAACGTTACACTTCCTGTTGTCAGGGGGCGTGGCTTAAGTGATGTCATGATTTGACCATTCAGTCTTGCAGGGGACCGAATGTGGATCAATTACTGAAGGTTTGATGTCTCAGACAGTTTTCGTGTCGGAGCTATTAGCGTTTCGTTTTTCATGGCGAGGTCAAACTTTGAGGTCTGGCCCCACCCCTTCAGCATGCTCTGAAACAAACCGTTTAGGTAACTTTGCGTCCCCTATGCCTTTTGACCAAAATGGCCAAGTTTGAAACCGATTGAGTGAAATCCCTAGGAGGAGTTCGTTCAAATGAGGAGGCTGTAAACCGCCAAAAAGGTGTGAAAATTGGGACGACATTCAAAATGGCCGCCTTCCTGTTTATCGTACAGTGTTGGTGCCAGAGGGTTTTCTGTGCATCTTGGGGAATAGGACAAGCGTACCAAATTTCATGTTTCTACGACAAACTAAGATGTGGAGGGTATTTTGAAAATTTCCAGGTGGCGCTCTTGAGCCATTTCTGTTGTGATTTTTGCCCACACTCTTAAAATACGTTATTTTTCACCAGTCCTGATGTGTCCACCAAATTTGGTGACTTTTGGGATATGTTAAGGCCACCAAAATGCCAATTCATTTGACGGAAAAAATTGCAGCTCGGGCCTGAACAGAGCAATTACAATAGGCCTTCGCAGCGCTTTGCTGCTCGGGCCTAAATATAGTCTCTCCAGTGTGTCCTGGGTCTTCCTGGGGTCTCCTCCCAGTTGGACATGCCCGACGTACCTCATTAGGGAGGCGCCAAGGGGGTATCCTTACCATAGGTGAGGGTAGGAACCTAGACTGACTGGTAAACAGAGAGCTTTGCCTTACAGCTCTGCTCTCTTTACCACAATGGACCAGCACAGAGTCTGCAATACTGCTGACAGTGCACCAGTCCATCTGTCAATCACACGCTCCATTCTTCCCTCACTCATGAACAAAACTCAGAGATATTTGAACTCCTCAACTTGAGGCAGAACCTCATGTTTGAGCCAAAGAGAGCAATCCACCCTTTTCTGCCTGAGGACCATGGCCTCAGGTTTGGAGGTGCTGTCTATATGTCTATTTTGGAGTTATAGACCCCTCGGAGAAAACTCCACCAGCCGCCATTGGATTAAGAAGGTCCAAGAAGTAAGATAAGATAAGACAGAACTTTATTGATTCTGCAGGAAATTGTTGTGCCAGAGCTTCAGTACAAAGGAACAAACACAAGGAGTCACACAAGATACAAAAAATAACAGTGAATATAAAAATACCAACAATTAAGTTCTAAACACGTGCAGACAAAAACATTAGTTTATTGTAGTGCAGGATTAATTTTATTGTCATATGTGCAAAAAGGGGGAGGAGTTGAAAAGTTTGACAGCCACAGGGAGGAAGGACTTCCTGTGTTGTTCTGTGGAGCACCTCGGTGGTCTCAGGCTACGACTGAAGGTGCTGTGGTAAGAGTCCAGGGTGTCATGCTTTCCCCTCAGCTGCCTGATGGTTTATAAATGTGTTTATAGATATGAAAATCATTTAAAACGTTTTCATTTACAATTTACACGTTTTTTAGATTCTTGTAATATTTCAACATTTTTAACATAGATGCATTGTAAATTACTTGACTGATCTTTATTTTGATCCCATTCAATCCAAGTCAGTCATCCAAATAATACATTTCTATTGTGGCACAGACAAGGCCGGATTAACCATATGGGCAACTGGGCAAGTGCTCAGGGCCCCACGACCTCTAACGGGCCCCGGGCAGTGACGGCACAAGCAAAATATCTGGTCATCTTGAGCTCTGCGCTGCACAGAGAGACTGCTGCCCTTCTGCTGCATTTGGGCTGCCCGCCTCCTCCCAGCGCGGCCGCTGCAGGGTTTAGTTTTTTTTTAAGTCAGATCCTTGACAGCACAACCTGTCAATCAACTCAGAAAGCGTGTCAGTAACTGACCAATCGACGACCTCAATTTGTCCCGAAGGTAAACGCCCCTTACCTGCTGACAAGCTCATCAGTTTTTTTCTTGAGAAGCTTGTTGTTTTAATTAAAACAATAAGTTTTATCTGTTGTGAGATGATTCTAGCAGTTTTGCAGTTTTTTTATATATTTAATGAAGAATAGTACGACTTAAAATCATTCATCAAACAGGAAGGAAGGCTTATTATCTCTCCTCTTACAGTGAATGTG